ATTATGATAAAACTATTATGAAATAAAATTAATATTACAAAATACTAATAATTCAACATTCAAATATATTTTTTGGAAGACTTTGGTCTTTTGAATTGTATCGTTGTAGCAAATGGGTATATATGTATATTTGATAACACATATAGATTGATGTGAAAACTCCAACATGGAAAGAACTGTTTGCTGGAGTATTAAAAATTTAGTTAAATATAAATCTGAAAATAATTTCGTTGAATCATCAAAATAATTATACAGGACGCTTAAATGATTACTATAATGTCAAAACTTTTTATAGCATTGTTCGTCATGTTTGAGATTCCTACATTGATTTCACTGATTCCTATTAAAAAAGTCTTGTTAGTTGAAATTTAGGTAGATTCAACCAGAGAATTACAATTAATTATAGCTAAATCTATCAAATAGTTAAGATTATCAGACATTGAATTACGCGATCATAATATTCGTTTTGTCTGTAATTCTTCTTGTTTGTACATCAGAATCTTTTTTTTTTTTTCAGAATATATAATTATTTTAATGGTAATTATTTTAATAAAATTATTTTCAGATCTGTATCTAGAGAAATTGTTAGCTACTTTATAAAAACCGTTCTTTCCATGAAGGTACTTGTTTAACATACATTCTATAAACTCACTGAGGCCAGATATAAAAGTCTAACGGATATTACGATAACTATTACGATATGTCCACTTGAATCGAGACATAATTATGCGATATAATAGTCCGAGTCCGGCATAGAGTCGAGACCAGTTTTCTCCGCCGCACCGCAACGATTTCCGCCGTGCAATTTATCTCCCCCCCGAGCGTGATATGAATGCAAATTCTTGAGAGACAAATCAGCATGCATTCTGAAAAGACGTCGTTTTATGACTCGAATCGCTCTTTTTCCCTTATGTGTAATTGACTCGTGGTCACCGATCGGTCACCGATCTTGTTGCCGCATAATTTACGCGATCGCACGAATATATTGAGCTTTCTGGAGAAGTCAGCTTTAAATCTTCCTCCGGAGCTGATATTAAAATCTGCAACACAATTACTGACGCTGAGCCTGTGAGATCCGTGTAATGGATTTATGTTGATTAAAAGACTAATTGTTTTCTAAAACGGAACTAAAATGACGAAACTTACGTAAAAAGAATAAATACTAAGTTTATTTTAATAACAATAATTCAAATTTGCAGATGTAACATAAAGAATATAATTGAAAATACATAATTAAAAGAATATAATTGAAGAATATATCATAATTGAGTAAATTAAATAAATAATCCACCATCAATTCCAGAGGGTTAAAGACCATCGCGCGTGGTCCACGTGGATGAAAATATCGTAGAAAAATTTGCTGTGGTCAGCAGAGTACCTTACAACAGCCATACTACATCGTTCTATAACTCTGCACATTCCAATCTTTGTTTCCGTTTCTTGTTTACATGAAATGGACGATGGAATGGGATTCCGTTCACGCGATTAACGCAACAAGCATCCACGTGGACATTTAATTCCTTACTTAAAAAAGAAAAAAAATATGTGTGAAATATGAGAAAAAATAATTTGAAATGTCGGGATCTGTTACTCGATCTGTCTTTCAGAAAAATGTAAAAATGTAAAATTTTTATAACAGTCTGTATAATTCGTGTTTATGTTATAAACACGAATCGAAAAATGCATTAATGAAATGTCCGATTTGAATTCTCTATTTTATGCAAAAATTTTTAGATTGGACTGTGGTTATAAGCGATTCTTTTAAGACCATTTTTAATTCCAACACTGGTCGTTGATTAGCGATATAAAATATAGATACAATGTTTCTTATACACAATCATAACTAGAGATGTAAACTAGATCATAAATATTATATCATAATTTTATGAAATCTCCGGAATTTCAATTTTACAAGTTGTCTTTATTTGGATATTTGTTGGTATCAATACATACATAATACACTGTACTGAGAAAAATTTTTGGTTGAAAATAAACGAATCAGAAGATTCTGGTAATATCAATCAGAATTCTAGTGTTATCTCGACTAGAATAAATTTAATTATAAGTGTTTAATTTGTACTTTTCCAGTTGAATCTACTAGGATTTCAATTAATGCAATAAGACTTTTTGTTTTTATCCAATGTAAAAATTTCACATTTTTATCTTCGTTATTAAAATTCGAACTGACAGGACCGATGTTTCCGTGCTTTCAGGCAGAACCATAGTGAAATCGAGAAGCGCAGAAGGGACAAGATGAATACATACATCACTGAGCTATCGGCGATGGTACCGATGTGTCATGCGATGTCGCGGAAACTGGACAAGCTGACCGTGCTGCGAATGGCGGTGCAGCACCTCAAGACTATCTTCGGCGCGGTTACCTCATACACGGAAGGTCATTATAAGCCCGCATTTCTCAGCGATCAGGAACTTAAGACGCTCATACTTCAAGTAAGTCGAATCCAAATGGTAATTGCGTAATATCTACACTGTTAAAGCAATCAAAGGAGCAATAGTATCCAATCCCTTGAGTTAAATAACATTTTGTTATTTAAACCTTCATGTGAGTTAAAATGTAAATCATTTCATTTCTTGAATTAGTTCCAAAATAATCAACATCCATATAAAAGTGCACTTATTAAATAATAAACTAAATTTTTTAAATAAAATTTAATACATTTACTGGAGTTAAAGTATTTAATTTTACTGTTTTGGATTAAATTAATGACATATTGAATAGAAATAGTAGTGACCTATAGAAATTATTAAAAATAACTCAAATTGGATATAATTTGACATTATGATTTTAACAGTATATATACAAATGATTGTAAGAGATTATATTCTAAATTTAATTTCTCGGTTACGGATAATAACGATCAAGCCTTATCTTTCTCCTATTCTGCATTACGAATAATTACGAAAGGTTGACAGGTACTTTTACTTTATTTGTATTATCCTATAAAAAGAATTTTATTTTTTTTTTATTCTTCTTTTAACAAATTAATATATTATGTTTGCTTGTTTCATTGCATCTCGCGTCTCGCTTAGTTTTAGAAGTAGTTCTAAATAAATGCCGCGGTTACGCGTGCTAAACACGATCGTGGGATCGGATAATTCACTGAAACCATAATGCTTGGTATCGTTAACTTGAAATTCATTTATGATACGTATTTTTGCCGCGGCTTGTAAGAGACCGAGTTGGAGATCTTTTGTAATCTTTTTGCACGAGATCGAGCGGAGCGAAACCAGCGGATAACTCCCTTTCTCCCGCATGCTACAGACTTTTATCCGGCTTGGTCTCGTGCCGCGGCGCGGCGGGGTAAAAGGAAAGGTCCGAAGCATGTAGATTTATAGTATCACGCTAATAGTACCTTAGATCGAAGCGCTCTCAAATCACCTACGCCTTTAATTCCGGACCAATTAGCGGGAATGAGGTTCCAGGTAGTATACTACCTTGTTAGATATTAAAGGAGTAATCTCTTGAATTAAATAATATTTTGCTTTTTTTAATTTTCATGCATGACAAAATGTAAATCAATCCATTTCTTTGATTCTTTCTAAATTCTTTGGAGTGACTCATTCTAAAGAGTGAAAATTGAACTAGTCGTAAAAAAGAGTGGTTCAATTTTCAATCTTTAAGAATGAGATTTCACTCCTCAGAATAAAAAATTTATTTAAAAAATTTTAGAGAGTATAATTTGATGTTATGTTAATTTAATTTAAGTGCAGAGAATAGAAAGATTTTCTTCTGTAATTCGTAAACACTCCAGCTTGTACGCATTTATTTATGTTTATGTGAAATTTGACTTTACTTGATGTGTGAACGTATTGTTATACTTGCCCGAATCTTTCTTTGCGTTAAAAAAAATCTGTTATGATAACGTATATTTACACGAAAAGAATGGTGTTGAAGTATTTAAAAATTTAGCTAGATACTGAAAATAAATTTTGTTATGAGCTATCGAATAATAAAACTGGTTGGTTACTAGAAACTTTTGCACTGTGAAATTTTTTGCAGCATTGCTTATTATGCTCAAGTTTTCTACATAATTATTTTGATGGTCCAACAAAATTATTTTCAGATCTGTATCTACTTAAACTTTTAAATATCTTAGCAAAATTGTTCCTTCCATATAATGTCTGCTCTAATTCTACGTTGTAGCGAACATCATATACATATTATTATTGGATTATTACTTCCCTGAATCTCTCCTCGCGTTCAAAAGAAAATCTTTTGCGATAATAGTACATATCTATAATGTTCTAATTCTACGTTATAGCAAACGTTACACATGTTATTATTATAAAAACAATTTTTCTGGAGGATTAAAATTCATCGCGTGCCAATGTAGTGATGGTTATTCAGGTGCATGAAAAGCGGCGTATAATTATTCGATGATAGAAACGTATCGGTTATGAAGCATACACTTTACCACGTCCGTGGAAAACAAGGAAAAGGAATATTTCAACGACCGCGATAACTCCTATTCACCCTAGATTCCGTTTAAACGCGCGGAGCCCAGAGCTGGTGTCTGATCCAGATATTTCTCATTGTCATGTGTACATATACACATTTATCTTCTATCGAGGGGAGTTCTTTTCTTTCTCACTCGTTCACGGCGCGTTTGCCGTATAGGAAAATATCTGAGAGTGAATGACCACGCCCGACACATACCGAGTCAGATCGGCTCTAAACGTGCTCTAATCGCGACATAAAGAGCTCCCCATTGCGAATCGGTACGTTTATTACCATCGAGATCCGGCTGAGCGTGTTACAGTTGAGAATAACGTTAAATCACTTGCCGATTAAACGAGGCAAAAATCGATACAAATGTCGCGCACTTAATCCGCATAAAACTTGCCATATACAGCGATAAAACGTATGTATGTACACATTTATAGCTTCCATTTGACACCGAAAGTATACAGGAAAAACTATTTTGCTGAAGTATTTAAAACTTTAGATACAGATTTGAAATTTTGATAATTTTGTTTGAATCTTAAAAATAATTATATTATATACTGTATTAGATATCAAAAGAATAATACAATCCGATTTTTAATTTATATTAAAATATATATTAAAATATATATATTAAAATATAAATTAATCCTTTCTATAATTAGTTTCAAAATAAATGTCCATTAATATAGATACTGTTTCTTTGTTTTTACTTTTTACTTACGCACTTAGTAAATAACAAATTAAATTTCAGACAAATTTAATACATTTTTTTGAGTTAAATTATTTAACTCTATTGTTTTAGTTAAAAACTAAATATAGAAATGATTAAAAATAACTCAAATTAGGTAATAATTTGATATGAATTTAGTGTATGATACTCAAACTGATTGTTAGAATGTCAAAACTTTTTGCAACGTTGTTTAAGTTTTCTACGTAATCATGGTTCAATAAAATTATTTTCAAATCCGTATCTAGCTAAATTTTTAAATACTTCAGCAAAACTATTCTTTATGTATCTTCGCATCACGATAAAAGCCGTTCGGGATTAAGATATTTCTATCCTGACTTGTCCGAACTTTATGAGAGAAACGTAGGTGCCGCGAGTAATAAAGCATAAGGAACTCGGGCATGCCTTTGTTGGGTCGCGCGAATTGCGTTGAATCGCATTGACATGATTAATTAATGAACGTTACATGCGATCGACGATACGTCGAATCTCGCAAACGATTACGTAACGTGGACGTTAGCGTCTAACTAGTGCAACGATAAATGATACGCTCGTGCGGATATTGTAGCGATTGTATTTGCAACTCAGCGAAATTGCGAGTGAAATGTCGTAGGCGATTTCGTGTGACTGAATACACATGCGAAAAACGGGAAGTTGATTCAGCTTATTCCATCGAAATTTCCCATATGACCAGTAAATCGCTCAAATATCATAGCTTGCAAAAAATGATTGCATGTAATGTAATCTTTAATGTCTCACGTTATGTCTTAGTATCGAAACACTATTATGTTTCCAGATTTTTAATGCAAAATGTGTCTTGTCGCTTAATGAGCGAGGCCGCTGCACTTCTTCACCCGGAAATAATTTCTTTAGTTAGTATATAGACAATTTTTTTATTACAATTTTTTTATAAACAATTGTTTAGGATGATTTTTATATTTCAGTTGAAAATTATTATTATTAATTTTTTATATATATATATATA